CCTACATTTTTGTAGCTTTATGATGAGAAAATGGTGCAAGTGTAATATTGGAAAAGGAATTTAATTAAGAAGAATTAAACTTCAAATTCATGTTAGGACCAGAGATAGTACATGCAAAGATAACAAAGCTATTCCTAGAGCACAAGCATAACTCATGTTTATAATGCTGTGTGAAATACTGGTTTTGACATGTGTGTGTGTATGTTCTAGTAGTTTTGCAGAGGAAGTCTGAAAACATTTTGTGGGGTTTGTATTTACTTTTAACTCCCCATAGACTGGATTTCTCTTCTAGAGAAGGTTCGTTGGTTTAAGCAGAATTATTGGGCTGAACTTAATTACCTGGTCTTAGTGTGACCAGCTGATGATCTGCATCTCATATCTTGATGTTCTTTTTAAGTAAATACCAGTGTTGGACACAGTTATTGCCTCTTCACAACTGGTCCTAGGACCAGTTCAACAAAATGAAAGTTTTAAAAATAAATAAATAAATAAAATAAAAAGGGCTTAGGTTGACATCCAAAGGAGTATTTTCACATTGCTACTTTCAATTATTGTGTTTTTCCTAATTGATATGAATATATAAATAAATCTTCACTGTCTATGAACAGGATGGAAGGATTTCAGACAGTGAAAGAATTTAAAGGTGATTGAGATTGCCTTGAAAGAGAGGCAACTTTTTAAAATACGATAGTACTTCATGTTACAGTTTGTTCTGCCATAGGACTTGGATTCTACACAATAGCTTGACTCCTAACAAGAGCAGATGGTTTTCCTTTTTCTGAAACACAGGCAAATCAAACACACAGGGTAGATCCAGTAGATCTGGGTAGGTCTAGGTATGAGTAAGTCGAGACTGAAAGGTATAAACCACAGAGAAACTTCTAGGGAAGGAGTAGGACTGTGTATTTTCTTACCATTTTTAGAAAGAAATAAAGGATATAATACAGTAAAAAATTAAATCCATGGACTGGTTTTTCAAATTTGTCATAAACTACCTTGCCAAGTTCAAGTTGAATGTACTGTCAGGTTTTTGTTTATTAAAACCAAAGAATGCCAAAGACATCTAGAGGTAAAATTCATAAAATTGAGACCCTGATATTCATTGTTTTCATGTTCGAGACTGACACATGTGTATCCGCCTTCAGCACTGATAGATTTGACACAGCAAAACTCTATTCTAATTAATTTGAACTCTGTTGTAAGTTCTGTCCACAATTGTATTCGGCGAGATAAAGAAAGTTGCTTACTTCCAAGAATACTGTTTTTTATGGTGATCAACTCAGAATGTTATCATCTAAGGGTAATGCTAGTACCCTCAGAAACTGAAGATTACTCATTCTACCCATTTTACAAGCAGCAGAAAATTCCAGTCAGATTAGACTCTTACCCAGGATAGAACAGGAAGCATTTTAAACTCAAAATACATTTGTTTGATTGCATTGGGGAAGGAAGAAAATGCGCTTCCTGAGGTTTAAAAACAAAAGCAGAAATTACCTCTCTAAGGCTAAGTTGTTTGGTTATTTGTGGTTGGATTAATGTAGGGGTTATTCATAGAACAAGTTAAAATCTGTGGAGTTGAGAAAATTAATCCGGTATTTATCTTCGTTGGCCAAAATAGCAGTATTTCTTGGAGTTTCACAGCAGCCGCAAACCACAGAAGCAATTTTGCCGGAGTATCAAATGAAGACATGTGTCAGGTTCTGTCAGAGGCAAATGAAACCCCTCACTTCCAAGCTGATAGGGATATGTGCCATGTGGCTGGATTTCATACACCTAGTTGTCCTCTCCTGATGGAAAGCAGGTGGCTGTGTGAGATGATTCCAGCAATTGCTACCAGGACGGGCTCTCTCTTTCACCGTGTTTTCAGCATGGTTGGTGACTCATGTGTTTCTAATGGGACATTTTGGAAGATTCTTGTGATCAAATTACATATTCCTTCCTCTACGCTCTCAAAGATCTAATAATGTGACAGCATGTGGGTTTTTTCCCCCCTTGTCTCCTGAGCTTTTGCCTTCCAGTTTCCAATATTTAAGTATATAGTCAGTGATCTTAGCTTAGAGTTCGTTTTAGTTTTCCATTGTAGGGGAGTAGTCAGCTAACGTGATTCCTGTCTTCAAAATCTGACGTGTTCAGTTGACTTCCATATTGGTGACCCCTTTTAGGCTCCAATCTATTGGTTTAGCCATCTTAAAAGTGCGGTGATTCTTCCACACTAGTCAGTGGGCAAAAGTTGCCGAGTCCAGGGAGTTATAATATGTAGGTGACACTCATATTTTCATAAGGATTTAACTCTAATCTTGTCATAATATTAAAGTGGTAATTTTTATTTTATGTATTTCTTTCAAACTGTACATCTTTTAGGTCTGTGTCTTTCTAATGGTACTGGACTATGGAAAAAAATTATATAAGCCCCACAAAATACCTTACGATTAATTTTTGTACCAGCTTCTGGTATAAAATTTGTTCCATTTATATGTTGCTAAAATATATATGTATAGATTTCTGATCATTTTCTAGTAGTTAAGACCTCTATAATGTTCCAGACAACCAGAAATTTCTTTGGTTTAATAGAATGAGTTTTATCCAAATGTTAAGAAATGACATTTTACGAATTTGAAAATAAATAGGAATACTCCAAAGCCCTCCTACTCCTACTGTTACTAACTCCGAAAAGCCAAAGGGAAAGGCATAACAGGCTTGTTAAATTTAACTTGGCTTGCTTTTGCTGAATGAAGACAAAACAATCTTCCCTGGTGAAAGGCATTTATGGAATTTTGTATTAGTGTCTGATTCCTAACAAAGGTCATTTAATCAAGCAAACATTTCAGGTATTCATTTATTATCTCCCTTGTTTTTATGCAGAAAAGTTGCAAATGAAAATGTTTTTTAATGCTAAGTTTATCTTGACTAGTATCGTGCTTTCTGCTAAGATGTTTGTACGTGCAGGATATGCTTATCTCAAAATTGCTTTTACAGGTCATGTGAAAAAGAGGTATTTCAACTGAGCTAATCGAAAATGTTTCCCTTCTAGATCTTGGCATTGGTTTTAGATTGTATTTTAAAGCAATCTGAAGTATTTAATATCCATAAATGTTATTTGGAAGTTTCTCTAAAGAAAATAGCTTTTGGTGATATTTTTTCCACACACTTTCATGTAAGTAAGCTTGACTTGAAAGTGCACAGTGACATGTGGAAAGGAGAATACAATTTTTAAAAAGAGTGGAGTGTGGACCTTGAGTAGCATTTGAGAGATGTACCATTAGGATGAAGACAGGATTTCTGTTATTAAAAGTCATCCTTAGGAAATTAAGTTTAGGAAAGCAAGAAGCTACCTTGTATTTCTGTAGATACCATCACAGAAGAAAGCGTACCAAAGTGTGGTGTCTCCCGTGTTTTGCTATAGGATGGTCTTACTCGCATTTCTTGTACTTTAGATCACGGTAAGAGAAAACACTTTTAAAAGAGCATGCATTTTTTTTAATACTATCGTCAGCTGAGTCCTGTTTATGTAAGTTGATGGAATACCCGCGTACAAATGGATTAGCCCTCCCACCATAGGTCATTTTGTAAGTCTAACTCTGGACTCTGGTTTCACTGAGTAAGGCTTTGATCACTGGGGCCATTCCAGAGGCTGGTGGGAACTCAGTGTTGGGCGAGTACTTGGGGCATACCATGTAACTGCAAAGCTTTCAGGCTAGTATTGCTGCTGTACACACATACACACACACACCAAGAAAAAAAGGAGAAATAAGGAAAGAAAGAACTAATTGGTATTGAAATCAATTAATTGTTTTTCACCCTGCTTTCAGTTTTTGTTAGTACATATGCTGTCAATTAACATGGTTTTATGGGGGGGAAAAAATCTCAAACTAATTCTGACATCCACTTTCAGTGAGCACGCAACTTTTGTGGATGAAATGTGGTAATGCTAATCTAATACACACGGGGTATTCTTAATATAGAGCTGGTTTCTTTATTGTTTTCATTTTAAAATGTGGTGTGTGCACATCAGGGGTGCAAATATGACTAATGGAGTCCAAGTCTGAAAATGTAGATGGCTTGCCTGCACTGAACAGCTCTGTGAGTTTTTGGCCTGGATGAAGGGAAGAGGAAGAGCGATCTTCTCCATAGTGTTGTACTCAGCTATTATCTATAGAGGTTAGATAAATGATATTTTGTTTAGTATCTTCTGTTCTTTTGTGTTTAGATGAGAAAGTCAATACTATAGACATAAATTATTTGGGCCTTTGTACTTCCCGAACTAAAACCTTACTTTATTTCATTCAGTTTTCCTGCAGACTTCCTTAAGTAATTCTGCATTTTATTATAGTCTAGTAAATGGATGATATTTGAAATTGAAATATGCTCACCATATTTCTTCAGATTTTGACCTTTTTTTTTTTTTTAGTGTCTGTTTTATCTTTTAAAAGTTAGCTAACATAGAAGAGCAAAGCTATAGCATTTTAAGGTAGGGTACATTAGTAGACATCTAGTTCATTTTCTTTGGCATTTAAAATAAAATCTCATGACCTCAAATACATTGACAGAGAGTCCTAACTTAGTATTGCACAACATTGAAAACAGTTTAAGCACAGTGTGTTTTGTGATTTGGATGCAGGCAGCTTGCCAAGGTAACTATACTGTAACTACTTGGGTTTAAATTCTGTTATGTTGGTTTTAGCAAAGATCACCAAGTAATTGCAAGAATGTGTGGTTATTGTTTTTATAAAACAGATTCTTTAAAAGGATGTGCTGAACTCCTGGTGTGGCTGCATGTTTGTCATGTGCTGGAGTGTTTCTGAATAATGAATTATGGACTGACTTTATTGATTTTAGTTAGCTGCATACTTATTCTGTACTTAAACCTTCAGGAGTTCACTGGTAGCACGTGGAGTTAGAGGGTCTTATTCTACAGTTGCACTTCACAGATTGTCACTGACCATCTTCATCACCAAAACTGGACATGGATTCAGAAAACTCAGCGCTGAATAGTCTTGGATACCTAAATTAATTTGTCTAGAGGGTTCAGTTCTCACTGAAACCCGTTTTCCCTTTTTCTTCCCTTCAGTAATAGTTTGATTAAGGGGAAGGTGAGTTGGGCAGGAAAGGATTGGCAGTGTTTTTAGAATATGTTTGGGAATTTGGCTCAGCAAGAGTTGTGTGGAGTGTAATGTCCACACTAATATCATTGCTGACACAACACTAGAATATTCAGTGCTTCATTTACAGAGTAAACATTTGGAAACATAACATAATTAGCTGTTTGATGTGACAGTTCACAAGCTAAGAAAACACTACCGTGGTGTTACGCTGCAAAATATTTACATGATCCATATAACATTTTGCATAGACAGTTATCGCTAT